AAAGAAAACAAAACTCGAAGATAAATAGGATTGCATTTAAAAAGGTAGAAAATGTTATCAACGCAATTTAAATTTTGATTTGTAGAGTTTCCATGAAAAGTTGAATCAATTTTTGATCAAATGGTCAGCTTCATCAGTTTGGAAGTGAATGATGAATAAAAGTTTAGTTGCATTTCAATATCAGATTCATGCTTCAACCATCAACCTTTCAACTTAACTTGAAAATGCATTTCAAGAAAACTCTTATTTACAGATATTTATCTGGAAAATTGCGATTCTTCAACAGATTATGTAGAGTTTGATTTAGAGATTGATTTTTGGCTGATTTGGTTTCATCGAAATGAAATATCCTGAAGTAAAATAACACTTTTCCATTGTTTCATTTCTTTTCCTCTTTCCATGTAAATTGAGATTTGTTCAATCAAATGATTTGACAGTAATCATTGACTTAATGAAATGGACAATTAAGTCGAGATCAAATATTTATATTTGTATTTCACTTCGTTCATCTTGTATTCAACAGAGTCTTGAACCATTATTTATACTCTTTACCATTCCCTGATCAAGTTTATCATTCTGATGTTGTTTGGATCATTAATATACTTTTTCTGTACAAAAGCAACTTCCATTGTTTATTGGAGTCACCATTGATCAGCCAAATAATTCAGTGATTTTTTGACCTTTTGCTTTACCCTTTTGTACCTTCATATACAAGAAATGCATCCTAAAAGACTTGCTCAAGAGATTTGCTTTTTCCTTCAACCTCAACTTCATAACTGACAATTTTCTAGTCGTCTTAACGACGTCGAATCTTAATACGAGAATCTTGATTTGACAATATCGAACAGTTCAATCTCTGTAATTGCTCAGAATTCGATTTTTTCGCTTTTAGCCTTAACTTTGGTTGGAATTTTTTCTCATAAGTTTCATAGTTGATCATAATATGCTTTAATCTCATTTTAAATTCACATCACAATTTAGTAAACTGAGAAAATTGGAAAAAAGTTTATGAAGAACAAAAGTGTTTGAAAAAAAGACAAAATGTGATACATTTTGTGCCTGATGAAAGTTAATTTGATTTTAATGATGTTTGGTGTGTTAAATGATTATGAGAGAAAAAAATTGAATACAAAAAAACGCATTTCAAAAGGATATTAAGAAGGTTAAGAATGGGAAAATTTCTGAGGAAACTGACAATATTTTGTTCTTTTATTCGTTCAATATTAATGGTTGTTTAATTGGATGAATGATCATTTTATTGACTAACATTTTTCTCTCTTCTAATCATGTCTTTCCAGGAGCTGAAATGGGTGAATTGAAGGAAGCAATTGGTAATATCGCTCAAACTGGACATGCAGTCAATTACCTTAAGTTTCGTAAAAATTCATTAACCATTTTCCCAGCCTTTTTGTTAGACGGTCTTGATGTTACCCATTTAATTGCTCACCATTGTAATATAAGCTCAATCGAAGAGACAGCCTTTATTGGTTTATCAGATAAAC